GACCACCTCCTGGAAGAGTCACAACTGTTGTGCCAAACTTGGGGCTAACAGGTGTGGGCCATTTGAGAAACCTTTGCATTGTGTGTCTGTCTGTGCCACACTAGAAGCCAATGTGCTCTTGGGACACCTTCAGTGCAGCAGAAATTTTTTTGTGTAGCCTTCTCAAGATCTGTACCTTGCAATAATCCTGTCTCTGAGCTCTGCAGACAATTCCTTAGACCTCAAGGGGACCCCACTTTTGCTCTGATTCAGTATGCATTGTCAGCTGTGAGGTTTTTTATGGAGAGGTGTCTGCCTTTCCAAATTATGACCAAGAGAAAGGGGATGTACCTGAGCTAAATTTCAAGTGATGTTGCAAAGGGTCTGAATATTGCTGTATGCCAATATGACATTTCAGTTTTTCGACTTTTTCATTACATTTGCAAACATTTTTAAAACTCTGTTTTCAGTACTGAGTGTAGATTGAGAAAAAAAAAAAATTAATTTATACTTGTATCAGACTGCAACAAATAAATCAACAAAATGGGGTGAATGGGGTTGTGTGTCCTTCCAATAAGAGAGACATGGAGCTGTTTGCAAAGGAAGAGGGGTATTTCAGAAGCTTATGATGGTTATAGAAGCGACTATTTCGTTAGGTCCAAAGCCCAAATATTAAGTTAAGGGTGCCCCATTTTGTCCAGCCCATTTTTGGGTTTGTGTGATGTGTGTGTACACACTATATTGGCAAAAGTATTGGGACACCCTTCCAAATTATTGGATTCAGATGTTCCAATCACCTCCATGGCCACAGGTGTATAAACTCAAGCACCTAGGCATGCAGACTGCTTCTACAAACATTTGTGAAAAAATGGGTCACTCTCAGGAGCTCAGTGAATTCAAGCGTTGTACAGTGATAGGTCGCCAACTGTCTGCAGAGTCAATAGCTAAAGACCTCCAAACTTAATTTGGCCTTCAGATTAGCACAACAGTGTGTAGAGAGCTTTACTTCACCAAATGCAATGCAAAGCATTGGATGCAGTGGTGTAAAGCACGCCGCCACTGGACTCTAGAGCAGTGGAGACATGTTCTCTGGAGTGACTAATTACGCCTCTCTGTCTGGCAATCCGATGGATGTGTCTGGGTTTGGCGGTTTGCAGGAGTGCCAAAGCAAGGTCCATAAAGACATGGATGAGTGAGTTTGGGGTGGAGGAACTTGATTGGCCTGACCTCAACCCGATAGAACACCTTTGGGATGAGTTAGAGCGGAGACTGCGAGCCAGGCCTTCTTGTCCAACATCAGTGCCTGACCTCACAAATGTGCTTCTGGAAAAAAGGTCAAACCTTCCCATAGACACACTCCTAAACCTTGTGGACAGCCTTCCCAGAAAAGTTAAAGCTGTTATATCTGCAAAGGGTGGGACAACTCAATATTGAACCCTACGGACTAAGACTGGGATGCCATTAAAGTTCATGTGCGGGTAAAGGCAGGTGTCCCAATACTTTTGGCAATACAGCGTGTGGATATGGAGATTATATATATATATATATATATATATATATATATATATATATATATATTATATATTATTTTTTTTTTAATCCAAACAGTGTAAGTATCTGAATTTAACTTCATATCAAGTCTCTTGTACAGCAAAGCTCAGAGTGGTAGAGGGAAAATCTACTCAAAAATCCAGGCAGTTCTGCTAACAAAGAGCATGCTAATACAGATGAACTTCATCATTTTGCTGCTGCTTCTTTCACAGTCCAATCATCATTTTGCTGCTGCTTCTTTCACAGTCCAATCACAGGCTGCGGGGGAGGGACAGGACATGTAAGTGTTACTTAACTGCATGATCAGGTCTTTTGCCAGAAAAGTGCCATGTGATGTGTGACACAGTTAATAAACTTAATAACTGGATGAAAAGAAATACAAATACTTTGCAGTAATAAAAAAAAAATACCTGTTTGAAAAATTGTATGTACTTGATCAGCATATTTAGCTGATTTCAGCTTTAAGCATGTGTGACAATCACTTTAAGCATTTGTTAACACATTTGTTAACAACAGCATAGACTGCCCAGATATAGATTTGTTAGAGCTTTAATGAGTGGAGTGACTGTGTTTATACCTTGGTTAAAGTAAATGACTAATAAAGCTACAACCAAGAAAACAGAACAAAAAAAAAAAGAAATCAAAGCTTACTTTTATTTCAGAAATGCCCTTTTGCATCGCAAAGCCAATGCATGTTTAGGTATAACATATGTATTATATATATATTTATATAATATTATTAATAAAATAATAAGACTGCCATTAACACCTTGCTAGCAGAGAGGCCTGCAGATAACTGTATGTACGTTCTATAACTGCTTTGTACTTGGTTGGGGATCCACTTACAGGATGTGGTTAAAGCTTTAGAATTACCAATGCAAAGTCTGGCTACTAGAAAGGTCTGCCAGTTTAAAGGCAGTTTATTAAATACTTAACATTTAAAGTGTACCTGTCCCATATGCAAAGAGGCGGCAGTCATTTTGTGAGGTTGGTCAGTATTACTAAGCATGCAGGCCAGTAGTGGGCAACTTATCACATCTAAGAGACCTCACGCCACCTTTGTTTGCTAGGAAGCCCTGCAATTATTAATCATTCGAAATCAGCTTATCACTAAAAGGAAGAAGGAAACAGTTTTGTTATTGTCAATAATCACATTAAATTTGAAGTGGCTTCCTTGAAGAGCAAGAAGACTAAAAATGACCACTAAACCTACCAGTACCACAGGTGTAACTACCAGGGACAGCACACCACTTGTGCCAAGGATTCCAAAAGTGGAAAAGTGTAATCTGTTTAATGCAGCACTGTTGCAAGATGATTTCATTCTTGGATGCATGTCCAAAAATTGCAAAGATATTGGGTGAAGTGATGAATATTTGTCTATCACGATCATTAGGCCATCATGGAAGCAGTGATAATAGCCTGCCAATTTAGTAGCAACTAGTTGCATTATTTTGGCATACTGGTCCAGCCCACAGGACACCTTACAAATTTAAACTGGTTTAGACACCTCCACTGTGCATGGGTGACAGGCACACCTTAAAGCAGACCTCCAGACAGGGATTTTTTTCAGTTACTGATTTGTAAAAATGTACCTCTGATTAGGTGTGTGCTTTCTCTGTCTTTTGAAATACACCCTTTTGTTTTTTTCTGGATAGTACAGCTGTTGCTGTACCACTGGCTGATGTGGTCTACTCTGCCCTGTAGTCCCCCCCGACCATTCTTAGAACTCCTTGTATTCTTGGACCCAATTATCTTGTCAGAAGTAACTTTTGTTTACAGACAAATAACTGAAAAAATCCCCTTGCCTGGAGTTCCAATTTTATATCCAATAACAGCAGAACAATTTATTAAAACACATGAACAGATCTTAATGCTCTTTCTGAAAGTCATGTAAAAAAAACAAAAAACTTTTTTTGGCAAACTGTTAACCTACAGTTGTCCGGCGACATTAAGAAATATAGCAAAACAATAAATTAGCTTGGAAAAAATTTACAATATAAAATAAACTGTCTATAGTGTTGTAAGTCACTGTAAATGGTATTTAACAATGAATGCCCTATATAGTTGACCTAATATCATACCTCGGAGTCTGGCAATGAGAAGTCTGGGAATAACATTTAACCCTCAGTGCCAAGAATCAAAGAATAACATTCATAGCTGCAAGTATGTAACCACAGTGAGGAGAGGCAGGCAATGTGATACATATGTGGTGTATTCTGTTGACACGAGACTGGTGAATTTGTAAATGGATTTTAACCTCTTGACCAAAGAATCAGATACTAATACTGAGCTGGTTCTCCCATTTTGGTCCTTTTTTTTTTTTTTTTTTCTTCAAATTAGACACTGCTATCAACTGTTATCAAGTCTGAACAATGGTTTGGTTGTGAATTCTGCACTGGCCCTTTGCAATAAGATAAATACAGTAAAATATACAGATGTCGCCCCATAAAAATGCAGAATCCCTACCATCGTGGCCTGTCCGCTCACTAGGCTGCTAATTAAAACAGAATTTTTATTTTTATTGTATGAAATCAAATTCGGAAGTAATTTCACAAAATTGCCATAAACAAATAGAGTGGATTGCTCTTAGACCAACACAATCCAAGCTGAGCAAGAAAAAAGACTATGCTTAAATGTCCTTGTGCAGTCTGATTGTATACATTTACTAAAAGGTGTCTATTGTGCCCAGAAAGCCAACACAACATTCTTGTTCTGTAAGAGTCCCTGCATTTTAAAAACAATTAGGGACAGCTTTTAAAAAAGAATTGCCACTCATACCTGACAGACATCTTGTGAAAGTTTGTCAACGAAGTCCCTTGAAGTAATATGAAATCCTAAATTTGGAATTAACCTTAGCTATGGTTACTCTGCAGATCCACATGCAGCAATATGACATCTGTCGGTTTCTGCTTTGATAGGGATGAACTGAAGGACACGCCGACAGACACACAGATGTAGCTCAACATTCACATGTATTAACACTTAGTGTTACAGGCACAAAGAAAAAAGACAATCAGGATCCAGAAGGCAGCAGCTAAGATGTTGGCACACCATGTGCTTTGGTGGATATCAATGTGTGACAAGTGGTCAGAGCAGCTGTAAGGTGCACACATTGCTAAGGCACTAGGAAAACATGACCAAAAAAAACGATTTGCCCACGTCACTTCTACTGCCTTGGCACAAGCTGCAGCCTGAGTTGCTGTAAGCTGAAAGTATCTGTACAATGCCTGTGCCGTACAAAGGGCACTGGTAAGGATGAGAATGACCCTTAGCTTGTGTATAAAGATGTACGTCCAAGTACAGACTGGTGTATCGGTAGAAGACGAAGGGCAGTGAAAACACTACAAAGTTCTTCATATTACAGGGCTGTTCGATACATCGGTAAAGCCTTTGTGTATTCCTCACACAAGGAAGTGTATTCCAAATTTTCCAGATGGAGGAGGTAACGGCACACCAGGCTTGACAGATGTTCAGGTTTCAAAGTATTTGTAAATTGATGTAACATATGTCATGAGACACTGCCAATCCGGTCGCTCGGTTCGTACCATCTCATTAATGTCCTGTAATTGAAAAATACCAGAAAATGTATGATTCTGCATTAACATAAACATTGTAAAATAAAATGTATAAACTGTACAGTAAAGCTGTTCCTAAGCTTACCAGGGTAGACTTGATGCCTACACTTTCAGCTGCTTGAAAGGCCAATGTAAAATTTCTCCTCTGTGAAGAAAGAAAGCAAAACAGAAAGAGATTTTCCAAGTGTAGAGTAATCAAAGGCCTCTATTGCTTTGTATTAAAGAAAATGTAATAACAAGCAAACAGTTGTGTTACCTTGTCCTGATTGCTCAGTTCCTGGTATGGAATGTGGGCAGGAAGATATGTGTGCAGCAAAGCACAAAAGGCCAGACCATCGTTCCAGCTGCTACTGAAGTTTGTGATGTCGATATTCTAAAACAACGGAAAACAATTCATAAAGAACATTCAGATAAAAGGTAGACAGAAACTTAAACTTTTTAAAGGTAAACTCTAGTCAGATAGAGAAGGCACACAAATGCAGCTCAGTGCTTAATTAATAAATCATCAAGTAGAACTATTAGCAAATCAAATAAATATGTTCTAATACAGCTAGTTCTGTAACCTTTTTCCTCCTTCAATCCCAATAGTAATATTCCTCAGCCCAATGCCCCATTCTTAGGATCATCAGGAGCATCTCCCCACTGCAGTCAGATACAGCTACTGGGAACCAAAACAGCTTAGTTACTGATCATGTAATTGCTATCATAATGACCAAATGGACAGAAATCCAAGGAACCGAGGAGTGCTGGTGAAATAAATTAAAGTGCAAAGTAGCAATACATGAAACAAGATGATTTTTCAAACACTGGGGGGTTGACATCCTAAAGGCAAACAAGCTAATCAGTTTACAACAGAATTTTCCCCAGAGGTTAGCAAATGATCTCTGCTGACTTCCATCATCCGATCATGTACATGCCCTTTAGCTTCCTTACATTATTATTACAAAGGATTTATATAGCGCCAACAGTTTGTTCAGCACTTTACAATATAATGGGAAACAATACAGTTCAATACAAGAGGGTTAGGAGGGCCCTGCTCCTTGGAGCTTGCTTACATGTGATTTGATATTCTTTCCAAAATGAAATTACCCAGAAAAACCTGTGCTTAGGTGTCAAAAAGCAGCGCTTTTAAATAAATATGACAGTAAAAGAAATTTCAAAAGTCCCCCACCAAAGGTGGAATAGTTATGTGCAAATGACACATTATCACAAGGATCTATATAAAAGTCTATGTGAGCCTGGAAGTGCTGATGCTTAGTAAAACTGTAGACCAAAGAGTAGAGAAAGTCCTTCACCTTCCACCCAATCACACAGCCTCTTATTAGAGAATTTGACCACCAGAAGGATTGGTCAAACAGAGAAGTTATCAGGCCCAGGAGATGTACCATAGGCTTCAAAATAAGTCTCCCTAAAGACTCAAATTGTATACGAGATTTCCTCTAAACAAAGATCTCAGATGGCCGTGGTGTGTGATGACATCAAGCGTCGTAGCTCCATCCTACGCATTTCATCATACAGAGGATGGCGTCAGGAGCAACGGCCTCTGCATGACGAAATGCGTAGGTTGGACCTACAACACGTGACGTCATTATGCACCGCCACGGACCGCGGCCATTTTGTTGGATGGAAGCATTACATTGATATGGCATTGTTTATCCCAGTAACTGTAAGTGCAATACTCTGAATAAACCAAAATAATTTTCTAATTTACTATAATGAGTGGTTACTCTTCTTTTCTGTGGTATTTACTGCGTGGCGGGCTAGTCATCTGAGATCTCTTGTTGTTCAGAGGAAATCTTGTATACAATCTGGATCTTCGGGGAGACTTATTTTGAAGCCTATGGTACATCTCCTGGGCCTGATAACTGCGCTATTTGACCAATCCTTCAGGTGGTCAAATCCTCTGGTAAGAGGCTGTGTGATTGGGTGGAAGGTGAAGGACTCTCTACTCTTTGGTCTTCGGTTTCACCAAGCATAAGCACTTCCAGGCTTATGTAGACTTTGATCCAGATCTTTGTGATAATATATGTGTCATTTGCACATAACTATTCCAACTTTGGTGGGGGACTGGTTTTAATTTCTGTCCAAAGTGAGTTTCCACCACAGTCACTAAGCTAAGGAAAAATTCCTGGTGTGTCAAAAGAAAAAGAAATGTGAAAAACTTTGCACAGTTCTTGGTTAGCCCCCAATGGAAAACTAGCAAACACAGGTAACTCAGGCAATTGTAGCATAGTAATGGCGAGTTGCCCGACACTCACTAGATTACTGTAGATGCACATGTTGGGTGAAGGAAGATGTTATATGCGGCTCTGATTGTTCCTTTCCAAATAAATAGATTCTTTCATGTATGGTCAGTAACAGTATATTAAACTGCCTCAAGATTATCTAAACTTCTTCTGTGTGGGTTGTAGGACTTTTAAATAAACCTAGTCTAGGGCTGGCTGATGTTGCAGTGCATGTCAAATGACGAGTTGTGTTGAGGCAGTCCATTCTTTCTGAATGAGCTGTCAGTGCACCTCAAACTGCACTGCAGCACACCATTATGCACAGTAGCATGACAACATGTTTTGTAGTAAGCTGCAATTCAAGTGTATTGCTTTACTGTTTTGGGGTGTCATTTAAAATGATTTGTACCTCAACACTAATGCAAGCATAATGCATTATCATGAATTACCACATCGCAAAAGAAAGCAACATTAAATCAAACCTTTACCCAGACTATGTAATTTGAAGTATTTATATATGATGAACAAGCAGTAAAAGAACTTTACAATACACCTTGACAGTGGCAAGGTTTCATTTCCTCCCCCTGACATGCTTCTCTATGCGCTGCCTCCCATTCAGCTGTACGACATGAAGGTTCTTTTGTGGGTATTGCAGACACAGCAGACTGTTAGGCGGAAGGAGGAAGAGGTTTCAGTGTTTTGTGATTGACCTGAGAGCACGGAGGAAGGTAGCAGTACAGCGGTGTGCTGCTTACCGCTCAACTTTACATAACTATATCTGCTGACTTTTAGCTCGCTGTGGAAGTGAGAGGAAAGACTGTTGTTTAGGTCTTGCTCAGGCTACAAGTTAAAGTGTTGAGCCAACCTCTGCAATCACTGCACCTGCCAAACAGGGCATGAAAGGGAAGCCAGCAGAGAGCAGAAACATGGCTGCCTTATTCACTGCTCTCAGGCTCCTAGAAGGTGAGTGAATGTTGACAGCACTGAGCAAGGCAGCAGAACAGCGGTGTTTCTGCTGGCTGCTATTGATAAACACAGTGCCAGCCATGTAGGGGACAAATCACAAGGAAAGTAGGGAACACCCCCATCTTCTACTCCATGGTCACTTGCCTCTTTAGGGCTTGTTTACACTTGCTTTAAAATGTGACACTGGACATGCTTTTTTAAAGCACTCTGAAAGCCAATCAAAGCTCCTGTCACTAAATAAAATGGTAAGCTTACAGTCCTGTTTACACGTTGCATTTGCTTTTCTTCAAAAATTACACCCCATGTCGCTTTCTTGGTGCTTCAAAGCGTCTCCAAAGCCTCTACTGAAGTCTATAACAAAGCTTGCTGACAGGACCTGGGGCTTTTATTCACAGTTAATGTAGCTTTGTTTTGGAGATATTGCAGCTATTAGATATCCCAAGATGCACTTGGAAACCAACAAAGACATTATCAGCAGTCACTTTCGGTTCACGTGTGTAAATATTCTGAAAATGTCTGGTGCAGATGTCACATCTGGTGTGCAACATGGAGCAGCAGGAAGGTGATCAGGGTACGGACTGGAGCAGAACAACTAGCAGACGACACATGTAGGGTGTGCAACATGAGAATGCTATAGCGGAAGGTGAGCAAAGACCAAGAGCGAGGACTAAGAGGCAGAGGATCAGCAGAGCTGACAGACCAGAGCAGAAAAAACTAGCAATGTCACACGTGGTGTGTAGTGTGGGAGCAATATGGCGGGAGGTAAGCAGGGACTAGAGATTGGAGGATCAGCATACCAGAGGATCAGCAGAGCTGGGGGTTACTACTGAGCGGGGATTAGCAGAGCTGGGGGTTACTACTGAGTAGGGCATCAGCAGAGCTGGGAGTACTATTGAGCAGGGGATTTGCTGACTGAGGGTACCAATGAGCTGAGGATCTGCTGAACAGGGGTACTAATGAGTGTTGGTACTACTGGGTCCCTTTAAAACAAATGGAAAAATCAAAAACACATACAAGGCATTTTCTAAGCTTCATTAAAGCTTCACAAAAGCATCACTAAAGCATTAAAAAAAATTGATTTTTTTCTACATAACTGTAAAATCCATTTCTTGGAGTACATCACAGGACACAGAGAAGGCTATTCGTGCCTATGTGGGTTATTTGCAACCTATAGGTCAATGGACACTGGCCGACCAACCAGAGAGGAGGTCCTTCCTTATATAACCCCTCCTACACAGGAAATACTTCAGTTTTTGTAGCAAACAACGAAATTCCAAAAAGTGGGACCTCTGTGTCCTGTGATGTACTCCAAGAAATAACAGGTAAGTATGTAGAAAAAAATCCAGTTTTCTTTATCATACATCACGGTACACAGAGAAGGCTATTCACGTGGGATGTCCCAAAGCAATAAAGAAATTGGAGGGGAGGGTGAAACCATGATGGCCACCATCAATAATCCCTCAGGACCTACCCAGCCATCCGTAAAACACTGGTCAAAGGCAGAATTTTCTGCGGCTCTGACATCCACCTGGTAGAATCTTGTGAATGTGTGAACTGAAGACCATGTAGTGGACTTGCAAACCTGAGATACTGACGCCTGATGCCCCCACATGACACCTGATGCCCCCACATGACACCTGATGCCCCCACGACTCCTGATGCCCCCACACTCCTGGTAGAGTGTGCCTTCACCCGAAAGGGTGGGACCTTACCTTTCAAACCATAAGCTTGAATGATAAATTGGCAGATCCAAATGTGGAAGTCGCCCTGGATGCCGCCTGCCCCTTCCTAGGCCCCTCTGGTAGCACAAACAGAACATCTGACCTCCTGACCTGTGCCGCCACCTTCAAGAAGACCCTTACAGTGTGTACCACATCCAAGGTATGCAGAGATCTTTCTCTTGCTGACTGAGGCCTAGGAAAGAATGAAGGCAGAGCGATGTCCTTATTGAGATGAAAACTAGAAACGTCTGGTAAAAAGTCTGTTGAGATCGCAGCACCACCTTAATAGTACCAACATCCAATTTCTTCTTCAACCCAGTTTGAAAAAAATGACAGAATCCTACCAATCACATACATTCGTGGGTGCCATTTCCAGATCTCACACCAGGAAATGTAAGCCTTCCAAGTTCTGTAATATATGTTCCTAGAGATATCTTTCTAGCCAACATAATGGGGAGGAC